AATCCGCTCAAAATGATAGCGAGGACAGTAAAGAAAATAATACGATCGAGAAGTCGAGCGAAATATCTGCTTCTGTTCCTGAGGCACCATCTGAATATGCGAAGCAGATAGATTGGCCTGAAGCGTCAAAAGAAGTTACAAATTGTAACATGACCGATTGTTCAACTAGTGCTGATGTCATTCACGCGGAAGCTTCTCGCGATTATTTCGGGATGATAGACATCAATATAGTTGTTGCTGAAAAAAATCCCAAAATTTCTCACAATTTCAGTGCGTTCAACAATGCTGTTGTTAATGAACTCTGCAGGAGAGACGAAGTCGAGAAAGCTACGGACGAAGGTTTGTCAAGCGGTCTCACAGTGAGTGGTCATTCTCATATTGGCCGTGATTCAAGTGTGGGTCGAGAAGGAGATCAAGAAGAAGATCGACTCTGCCGGGACGAAGATCACTTCTGCCGAGAAATATCGATAGACTCGTCGTTGCGACAAGACTCAGGGCTTGATACATCTCTCGAAATCGGTGGCATCAACCAAGACCCTTCTCCGATGAAAGGATCATCGAGTCCGGTGGAGTCGGTTCCCGAATCGGGATTTTCTAGCCTCAAAGAAAATTTTGTGCCTGGCCATAACCTGTCAGAAGACTCGCCGGAAATGACAATGAGCAAGTCCAAAGACAGTCTTGATCTTACAGACAACGAACGATTTCCAGGGACCGACACTCTGTCAGATGAGATTGAAACTGTATCAGCTTTCGCTTCCCGAACTGTTTCTGTTGAAAGTTCGTTCAGAGACAGCAGTTCTGATGTAACCTCCCTTGAATCTGGGAGTAATAAGATGACACAACTATTATCTTGTGGTACCAGCAGAGACTTGCCAGACATAGATTTAGACAGTCTGGTGATCCCTAACAATCACAGCGAAAAAGCTTTATGTCGTCAATTAGCACTTCAGGCGACTTTGACGCTTCAGGAATCAAAAGAAACTATACCGTATCAAGAAGCTCTTTATAAAGATTCACCTTCAGAAAAAGATGAAACCATAACCGAAACGACATCTAAGAGCCGGAAAACAACGTCGGAAGAAGCTTCCAGTGCTGGCATAAAAACGAGCGATTCTTTGTCTTCTGAAGATACGATACTATCGAAACTTTCCATGGATGAGCATAACAAACTCTCGACTGATGATCAGATTTCCAGTCGCGTATCTAGCGACGATCACTCGAAAATATCTTTGGAAGAATCATCGAAGGTATATAGCTCTGATCAATCTAAAGACGACCTCTCCAAATTTTCCAGCACTGACGCTTCAAAATTTTCTCCCGATGATGGCTTCATGTGTTCCATTGATAGCCAGTTCTTGTCGTTGGATGACCCTTCGCTGACTAGCTCTCTTCACTTCCAATCAAGTATCACAAATATTGATGGGCATCAATCTATTCAGGAAGGAAATGAATTCCAAAAAGAAATACCTTCACTTGAAACGGAAAAACTCTCTCAAGAATGCTCACAATTTAATGGACGGCTAAAAGGAATTCATACAAATTCAGGTACTTCAATGAATTGTGATGTGGTCCAGTCTATGGACGAAGAAACTTTGAAATCACTCGCAGCCGTGGTTGGAGAAACTTTACCTCACCTCACTACCGTAGCCATGCACAAGTTGAGTACAGTAACACCAGCCCCATCTTTGGATCTTGTAACTAATCATGTATCGAAACCGGCCTCCGGAAGTCTGTCTTTCGTAAATGACACAATTGACCCAACTGATGTAGCGAAAATAGCTGAAAAAGTCAAAAGCGACAAAAGTCAACTTGATGAAGCAAAAATGATGCACTTGGTTAGCGAAATACAACCTTCTGAATTGAATTCAGTTCGTCCAAAATCCTACGAAGTCCACAAAAGACGGAAGAAACGCAGCGTTAGGAATGCTCTGAACGAAATGGCTGTTCAAGGAAGTGATAGTCCAAGAATCCATTCGACTCGATCACATCGCTCACATCGTAGTAGCAGAGGCAGTCTTGTTTCTGATAACTGTGGGTCCCAGGGATCGCTTGCTAATGTTCCCGAAACAACAGTCCTCCATTCTCCCCGACCCTCGTTAGCGCAGTTCACGTCGAGCTCTGGTAGCACTCAAGACGAAGACGTAACTCTCACCAAGAGTGTACCTACTCACAGGAAGTTGCCTCTTTCAGTGGCACAACCGAGCCTTGGTAATTTTGGCTCAGCATCTAGCAGCTTCCAGTCCGATGAATCTGGAGTTCCATTTGAAAGCGTTAGTCTGCGTTCTGAAGGCTCTTTAGATAAATTCCCGCACTTCGATGCCGTACGAGCTCAGGTGAAGCCAAGGACGCCTAAAAAGAAGCATCAGTCTGTGCATATCGAAGAGAAAAAGAAGGAACGTAAGTTTGAGATAATGCACCGTAGTGTAACGCTTCCCGTTGGGTCTTTGTTGTCCAAGACGGAGCATCGCCAAGACGAATTACGCAGAGGAACTGAAGATGAACAAAATAAGGATATCCTTTCAAAGAAGAAAAAGAAAGAAAAAGATTCTGCAAAATCGGAAAAGAAATCCGCCATGTCCTCTATCAGAGGCTTATTGAAACGAAAAAAAGGAAAAGGCAAGGAAGAGAATTCAGAGAAAGGAAAAATTTCACCCTCAATCTTTCGACATTTTGAAAGGAAATCAAAAAGTCAATCTCCATCTCCTCAGCATGTTGGAAAATCAAGTAATCCATCCGACGCACTTGAAAATAAGCTTCCCATTACCATCATCCGTGAAACTCTCGTACACACGGCAACTCCTGGATTATATGCTAATGGAACACAACCTCCCGAAGCTTTTGATGCAGTCAATAAAAACAGTAATGAAGCCGCATCCAAAATCGAGCTGTCAGCTTCCGTCGCAGCTCTAAAGACAAGTAGCAACAATTCCAACCGCTCATCCAGTACAGGCGCGACTGCCAGCATCGCTGACTCCTCGCCCCAGTACCTACCGATTTCAGACGAAAGCGTGTCCAACAGCTCTCGCAGCTCCCCGGTATCAGTTAGGCATTCAGCACCATCATCGCCCCGGAAGAGTGCCACTCAGTCTCCTCAACTCTACCGTCGTGTTCTTACTAGAAACATCTCGAGTAGTCAGGAATCTCTCGAGTCAACTCGACTGGCCTCCCATGTTTCTCCGTCTGGTTCACCTCTAAAGAAACGAGAAGGCGTCTCTCCTCCTGGATCTTCCTGTGTGGTGGATGTTATTACCACTGGATCTGTTAAAAGAACAAGACCTTCGAGTCCCAACATTGTCTCTGTCACAATTGGGTTTAAACCTCAGATTGAGAAACGTTCGGAACGAACTTCTAGCGGCAGTCTCGCTATCGCACCTACCGACCTCGGAGTTTACAACCACATAGAATGCCCTCTTGAGACCGATTCCAGCAACACCAGCAGCCCTGTAAAGCTGAGTAAACGTTCAGCGTCGATGGAAATTTTGGTCTGCGGGAAGATAAGAGAACACTGTCGTGATCAAGGCTCATCAGGAGGTTCATTTTCTAGAGAAGGAAGTTTTAGACTCCATCGGGAGATCTCAGTCGAAACCCTCGTCGAATTACCTGGAAATTATAGCAATACGGGCAGAGAAAATTATCAAGATTATTTATCTCGAGTTCAAGCAAGTCGTGATTCAACGCACAATTCTACTTTGAGCTTGTGTGAAATTGACGAAACAAATCCATTACAAACTTTTTCACCGCCGGTTGACACTAACATGACATACCGATCTCTACCTCGACCAAGCCGAAGTGCGAATCGTCCGTCAACTCGTCAAGGCCTTGGGCAATCCCCCCAGCCAAGCAACCACGCCATGTTCGGTAAAAAAATGAGTCTCCCTCATAATCTGTACCTAACCGGACGCAGCTGCACTCCGGAGGGTGAACTCAGTCTTCAGCAAGAGAGAAATGCTGTCACACTCAAGTCAGGCATGACGCACAGTTCGAGCTTCACCGCAAGCCCCTTCCGAAGGCCACGGTCTGCCACGCTCGGGAATATAGGTAGTGTCTGCGCCGTGTCATCGCCTCTGAAGAAGGGATTCTTCACGTCCACTACCACCCCTGGAGGTTTTTTGAACGAGATTTGTATTGATAAATTTGTATACATTGATAAATTATTGATAAATTTGTGGGAATAGAATCTCGGCCACATTTAATTTGCACCCGCTTGTTACTTAAAGCGAAATATTCCTGATTATTTAATGAACTGGTTGTCTAGGGAATAACATTAATTTTTTAATTATTTAAATTTATGCTCAAGAAGCTTAAAATTTAATTTCTATGAAGTTTCTCTATAAAGTTCGACTTGAAACTACGATGTGGAATTAGCTGATATTTTGTGTTCCCTGTGCGTGATTCGTTTTCTCCCCCTAGTCTCAGTTCTATGACTAGAATCAGATCAATGACTTGGTAGTTTTCACTCCCTATACAGTATTCGTTTGAGTCCCTAGTCTAATAACTATGACCATTGTCCATTCCTTGTGCGTTATTCGACTATACCCTGGTCTCAGATTAACGACTAGACAATGACCATAGACTCAGACCAATGACAACGACTTCCTACTCCATATACCGGTACAGTATTCGTTTATGCCCCTAGTCTCAGAAATATGACTTGTCCTCGTTCACAGCTGGGCCAAAAACAGGCCAGAGGTATCGCTATGCAATCAATGTCCGTGACCGATCTTTCTTTATTATGCCGATGTCATTAAATTCTTCATTATTATCTAGTTTTCAAAATTAAAGAGGCTGATTATGAGACGAATATTGAGGCTCTCCAATATCTGTGAGCCACGTGAAGCTAGTTAAGACCTAACTCGGTATATTTTTAAGCTTTTGATGCATTACTTTTTGTTTGCTCATTCATTTAAACGATTTTTTCTCGTATTATCGTTATTACATTCATTTTATACGATTTTTCTAGTATTTTCGTTAGTATTTAATTTAACATTTTCTGATGGCAGGTCCATCGCCCATATCAGAAGCAACTTCCCCTGTTCCTCTCTTGGAAGAAGTTCTGGAGGAACGAGACTCTACTCATTCCAGCGTCAGTCCTGAGCCCTCGTCTCTGCCATTCGACTTCACCGACCAGCATTTCGCGGAAGACGGAACTAAAAATTCCAGACTCCAGGAACCAGCCGAATTTACCGTCAATTCCGGAGGACCGAGTGGAGTTTCTGGCTCGGAACAACTCAATTCTACGTCACAGAAAATGTCTTCAGGTCAGACCGAAAATTCCGATGGTCTTCTCGGTTGTGGAAGTGTGGGCGTCGCTCAGCGGGATGGGAACAAAGCAAGTTCTGACGACGTAAACAAGACGTGTGATGACAGCGTCTACGACTTCACTAAGGAGGCTCCCAACATCCTTGTCTATGCCAACAACAATGAGGCTTATTTCGATTCCGTCAAGAAAACTCTGCTCAGTTGTCTCAAAAGAGACAGGTACATACATGATAATTTACCAATTCAAAATATGTCTCAAAAAATACATGGATATAATACAGTTTCTAACTTGCTTTGCTCTGACAGTTGTCTCAAAAAGACGGGTATTTACTGTTTTTTTATTTGCACCACTTGCTTTCCCTTGCCCATGCCAAACAATTTATTTAAAAAGAAACGTTTGTTTAAAACGTTTCAACTTTAACCTGGTAATCAAAATGGCTGGTAATTATTTGAACGAAGTAAAACTCGCCTCAATCAATTTCCTTGTCCAAAATAGTTAATAAATGTTGTGTGTGCATGCCGTTTAGTATTTGTATAAAGTGGAACCACACTATATATTTATTACGAAGGCTTACATATGCTTTTCCGATGTTTATTAATCCATACTTGAGTGTTGAGGTACTAAAATGATTTATTGGTGCTAATTTGTGCTCGGTTATGTGAGTGTAACTTGTAGTAAGTTCGTATGGTCGTCAGATACGTCATCTACCACCTGACGAGCGACACCGCCTTCAGGAGCCCATGGGTCTCCAACACGACATTACTCGTCATCTGTGGAGACGTGCAGGCTCACGTCTCGACCGTCTTCATCAGGTATTTGCTCTCAAGTACTTTTTCTGACCGCAGTCGTCAGCGGGAAGTCGAGAGAAACACGTTTTCCTTCTAAGGTCAACATGTCCTCGTCAGATTCAACATAACCTGATGCAAGATCGTGAAGGAAACGTAAGCTGAACATATTCAAACCGGTTAGAATTGAACACAGATTTTTCAATTACAGTTCGTATGATGGACGGATTTATAATGCTCGAAGTAGAAAAAAGTTTTTTTAGGGAAAATTTTCGCCTTCCATGAAGAAAATAATCTAAGATTTACGAATATTTATTTTCATGTCGACGTTGCAGATACCTACTGCAAGGCGGCCGCGTGCTCTCCATCTGCTCTGACTTCCTGAACGTCGCCGTGCCACTCTTTGGTAAGAAATAAATATAATTTTTGTATTTCGTTAGTTGGAAATTTTCATTTCTAGTTTTTCACCTCTATAATAACTATATATGTATATGTAAAGCCAGATTATTTCAGTTGAAATCTAACGGATTTAATCGTAATCGTAGATTTCTGAGGAGAAATTGAGTTCTAAAAGGGGAATTCAGCCGCGGAGGCAAGTTAGGTACTTTGCTTTAGACGTCACCGCCGTACGCTGCAAGCTTCACACGCTATGTGCGTATTTTTCGTATGTGAATGAAATTAATTGTAATGAACTAAGCGCATGTATGTTTTAGACCTCAAGCCTCGCTACTTCTCATGTCTTCTTAATGATCTTCTTAAGCATTGCCTATCTTTTGTAACATTTCTCGACGTAATGATCGTTGATGTTCTCATTATTCGATATTTAACGAGAACGTTCGTGCGCTGCTGCACTGACTTCGGTATGTGTTTGTCCTGTACAAGAAATTTTCTGCATCTTCACATCATATGATATGATCCTCTTATAAAAGATTAGACGAGTTGTTGCCATGAAGCTCGTACAGCCATTTTATTGTATAAGATATATGCGTCTCTTCTATGCATTTTTCTTTCAATTAAAAGTTTAACTGAGAATCATTATGATTGTAATATTATTGAAGTATGAATAGAATCAGTAATTCTTATTTATTCGATGTATTGCTAGATGTAATAGGACCTTCCGACTGCCTCCCTTCCCTATGTATATATATTACCTACTTCTCGTTCGTCTCGATTTCTGTGTTCCTGAGACGTTCAACATTAACGGTTGTCCTGACCTTGTATCTTGACGAGAACTTCTACAGAAAAATGCTCTAGATATCCACTTTATGTATCCGTTTAAAGTGCCGTTTGATTTCTAAATGATTTTTATTCCCATTACCCTGGTTTGCGTGGCGCTGGTGTATAGACTTCAAAGTTCCCTGGACCGATAAAATGCTGGCAGAAGGTAGATCTGTTGTTTGAGTGTCTATCCCGCACTGCTCTACCACACCTAGCTAATGCATTACCGAACATGACCGGACTTTGATGATGTTTTGACGTAGAGATATCATTGAACATATCATCATCTTTGTCAGATGTGGGTACGAGGCTGTGAAGCTGGCGTGTTATAGAATATTATCACTTGACTGGACTGTTATAGATTCATTTAAATCATCTTATCTGCTTGACGTTCATGTCTGGATGATGTGAACGCAGCTTTGGCTTTATGCATTCTTCACTCATTATACTAAGAACTGAATGATTTCACCCATTTTCAGTTCACCCATTACCAGTTCACCCATTTACAGCTCACCCATTTCCAGTTCACCCATTTCCAGCTCATCCATTTCCAGTTCACCCATTTACAGCTCACCCATTTCCGGCTCACCCATTTCCGGCTCACCCATTTCCTGTTCACCCATTTCAAGGTCACCCATTTCAAGCTCACCCATTTCCAGTTCACCCATTTCCAGCTCACCCATTTCCAGTTCACCCATTTCCAGCTCACCCATTTCCAGTTCACCCATTTCCAGCTCACCCATTTCCAGTTCACCCATTTACAGCTCACCCATTTCCAGTTCACCCATTTCCGGCTCACCCATTTCCAGTTCACCCATTTCAAGGTCACCCATTTCAAGTTCACCCATTTCCAGTTCATCCATTTCCAGTTCATCCATTTCCAGTTCATCCATTTCCAGTTCATCCATGTCCAGTTCACCCATGTCCAGTTCACCCATCTCCAGTTCACCCATTTCCAGTTCACCCATTTCCAGTTCACCCATTTCCAGTTCACCCATTTCCAGTTCACCCATTTCCATTTCACCCATTTCCATACCAGCTCACCCATTTCCAGTTCACCCATTTTCAGCTCACCCATTTCCAGTTCACCCATTTCCAGCTCACCCATTTCCAGCTCACCCATTTCCAGTCCACCCATTTCTACTCCAAACTCGCTCGGAAAATCTTATCAGCTCACTATCACTATCACCAGGGGGCACTCTATTAAATCCCCGACACGACTGCAGCACGTCTTGGCTATTCCCCTTAGTATAAATATAGTAGAATCTCTGCTGTCCGAATGCTTCAATGCCGCGTAAATTTTTTAGTTCTGATTGTGTTTTTAGATGTGTTGATTTTGATGAAACGCTGATAACTCGTTGAAATTGTGTTTTTAGATGTGTAAATTTGAATGAAACTCTGTTAATTTGTTTAGGTTGTGTTGTTAGATGTGTAGATTTGAATGTAGCGCTGATAATTTGTTCAGGTTGTATTGCTACGCGTGTAGATTTGAAAGCAATACCTACAATTAACCAACCTAGAGTAAAACAAATCAGGATAAGAATTCGTTTGTTCTTCGTTTGTTTGCGTTTCTATGCACCATATTCGTGCCTGTTGTTCTGGAGAAACGAGGCTAGTTCATACGAAACGAGGATGACTCATCTGTTTTTCAATTGAACTCACAGCAATAGAATAATTATACAAGGTTCCTACTTCATCTTTAGCATCTTCGCATGACGCATGTTTCTCTGGATGCTTTTTCAACCGCGTGGGCTGAAATTAGGTTTATTAACCTTAAGAAGGTAAGCGATTACCTTAAACTGGCTGTGGATTCAAGATTCAATTGCAAACATTTATGACCTGCTTATAAGTGAATACACGAGTTCATTTATTACTAATCATGTTGATTGAGAAACAGATGTACCTCTCTATCATTCGGACGTAGTATTGCCCCCTGAATGTTGTCGAGTATTTGAGTTACCGTAGCTCGTATTAGTGAATGAGTGTGAACAGAAAATGTATGGCTTTAATTTAGTGAATATCTGTTTAACTTCATTTGTTGGCATCAGATCAAGAAGCTGCAGGCTCTCATAAATATAGGCGATTAATTTAGAATTTATTATGGCACCCTTATGAATTGTGTTAAAAATTAATAATGTATTCAGAATAATTATCTGGACCAACAAAACAGGTCAATCAAAGTTTTTCTCGGATATTTTTTTCCTTATTTTACTTAAGTCATTTATCAACTAAAACTCGTTTTGCTAATTAAACACACGACTTTTATCATCTCGAGTGAATTTGAAGTCACCTGATTTTTACAGCCCTAAACTAATTTTTTTACGCACCTTGTAGACTAGTTATGATCAGGTGGCAGCTTGTCTAGTTCAAGACATAGGCACTGTTCGCCATAAACTACAGCACATAGTTGGTGCTCTATGTGACCCGAGCACTTTTAGTCGTCAATTTGTTCTAACAGTCCAGAATTATGATGAATTTAGCTACGATCAAGCATAAACCTGGTCAAATCTAAAGCATATTATGTTCATTTACGTATTTTTCATTTCGGTATACGTAAAAGTATTTCATCAACATTGTAGACTCACTACAAAAATTCATAACGAAACCATTGATGAACTCATTTTACTTTTATATTTCGAAATCGATTTCAAAAGGAAAATTATTTCTCTATAGAGTGCATTTGTTTTCATTTGTTTTCAATCTAATTTCATTAATTGATGCTTGTCTTTACGTCGTTCAGTATACCAAAACTGACCTTCCCGATTTAGTTCACCAAACATCCATAAATTTCGCTTTCGCCGAGTTCCTTGGTTTTCGTCGTTGTAATGACCGTGAACCGAAGGTTGCAAAATACTTCACTCATTCCATTGTTCACGACGAATAAACAATTCCCCCACGATGCTACCAGGCACGGTGGAGGTGGCGGAGAGCGCCGTGGTGGGTGTGCGGTACGGACGCTGGGGCAGCGTACAGTTCCTGCATCACCAGCACTGCTCCCACTCGTCGCCCCAGAGCAACAGGTTCAGCACACATCTCGACCTCGATGACAAGTACGCCGCACAATCTATACTTGATTATATTGATAATAATGACATTTATTAATTAATTTAGGTTATTTAGTTATTTATATAATCTGCGTGTCATGCTCTCTCATGCCAGACTGTAATTACTATACTGTATATAGTCTCCATACCTGCGTACGAAATTCTAACACGTTCAAGACTCATGATCTGATCAATACTCATAACAGGAACTGTTACTGTAATAGTTAGAAATATTACTATAATAGTTTCCAATATTACCATAACAGTTACCAATATCACCATAATAGTAACAAATATACTACACGTAAACAGACCAGGCACGAGCAGTAAGCGTGGTCGTGGCGGGACGGTGAGCGTGGAGCCGACGCACGTGGAGATAAGAGATACGGACGGCAGGGCGCACGTGCTGCAGCTGCACGTGCTGGCCACCGACGACACGTGGGGGGCGCCCTCCCTCATCGGGGCGCGGGTCAGGGGCGGCCGCGGCAGGGGGGTCTTCTCTCAGGTACGTCTGATGCTCTGGGAATAAATTTATGTATAATTTACATGAAATACGTAGAAATGAATTAATGTATGATTACATTAATCAATTGTGTAGAGTTGTTCGTGATATGTGTGACATTAGTTTATAAAAGTAATCATATATGGAATTCTAGGAAAAAATAATTGAGAAAAATTATAATTTTTTGCTTATTAGGAACGTGCCTCTACGCAAGTTGTTCGACTAATAGCGAAAGAAATTACAATTTTTACTGATAATTGACTTGCCGGGCCCCTGATCCTTCAGGTGCACCTGGAGCGCGGGCCAATGACCCCCGGGACCGATGCCCCCGCCGGCGGGGACAAGGCCCCGCGGGGGACCCACCACGAGTGGGACCAGCGTGGGGCCAGGGCCCGCAGGGAGATACTGCGGGACCTTCTGTCCACTGAACTGCTGCTCGAGACTGAGCAGGACGAGCGGGATGAGTGGGCAGACGGCCATACTGAGTGGGCTGATGAGCAGAGTGCTGGACTAGACGCTCATGAGCCGTGCTACTCACCTGCTGTCTTGCTGGGCGACCAGAGAGTGCGTTGTGCTGATTTTTCGTTGTGCTAATCTTAATAACAAAATTTAACAGTCGAGTAATCGTCAATTGTACTTAAAATTCCATGATTTTGAGTATTTTTTGGTAAAGTGATGTAGTGAAAATTATATGGGGTTTTCGAAGGTTAAGCAGATTGCATTTCGTGATTTCCAGGCGCGAAATGTTCCCTGCGGAAAGCACGAAATGCAACACGATTTTGTTATTCTATTGAAAAGTAAGATGGCGTCAAAGTTAGCGGTTAGTTTGTTGTAGAAGTGTTTTCTTTTCTGCCATCAAAGTTTATTTACAAACCACAATTAAATAATCTCAAGCTTAAGTGAGCTTGAGTTTCGTTGAAGTTTAAGATATAGCTTTAAATGTAATAATTCCGGGATGAATTTTTATTATTTCTAACCTGAATTATTTTCCATTTACTTAGGCTTAGTTTAAAGTTACTGTAAGCCTGAATATTTTAATGTTTAATCTTCTTACCTCCTATATGAACAAACTTAATATTCCCTTACTAACCCTATGCACCTGCCACTGCACAGCTAACAAGACCATCGCTATTTTGCTAACAAGACCATCGCCTTTTCCTCAGCAAGGAAAACTTTCCTTTGCGTCTAAAGCTATCTTCTTCGTCCTTGGCTGCAGAGTAAGAAGGGTTTGCTGGCCAAGCTTCGTCCCAAGCTGCTGGGGGGCAAGGAGCTTCACCGTCCGCAGCTTCGTCTCGTCTTCGTCAGTTTCCCGGACGACGGTGCGACCGAAGCGAGCGCCGATGTTCTGCCGGTGCTGCTCAGCCCTGAAGCGCCCACCAAGTTCAACAAGGAGGCTTATTATGCCGTGAGTATAAAATGTTGAAATTCATTCTATTTGTGAAATTATGTGTGTGAATGCAACTTTATATGTTTGGTTGCAGTCCGCCTGGAGTCGTGTGTATAATAAATTGCTTGGAAGCTTTTAATGCCACAAAATTTTACACCGCGCAATGTCTTCACATACCGCGTTTAATGACTAACTGCTTTCAAACTTGATATCTACCAGCGTTTCTAATCGCTGGATTGTTTCTTGATTAGAAACAAGTTGAATTCATTGCGTATAGTTGTTGTGAAAGACCAGACTGTTAATTATATTTGCAATAACCTCGCTGTCTTTTATCCTAGCAAAGACTTGTTTCTAATTATTTGATAGACGTAAAAGTGTCTTATCACTTCGAAGCGTTGATTGTATCCTATCGCTTTAAAGAACTGACTTCTTCTAGTTGTTTTAATCAATTTATTTGTTGCTGTTCAGTAGCTGCTTACGTTTTATCTTGTCTGCACACGACTCATTGCCTGCTCAGAAGCTGCAGACGAAGGAGGTGGGGCGGCTGGTGATGTACTGCGACGTGATGACGAGCAGCATGCACGTCGTGGAGGGCGCCACCCTCCTGACGCACGGTCTCGCCGTCGTCCCCAGACGCCAGTCCAAGGGAACTGGTAATGAAAACTAAACACTCAAAGAAATTAGCAAGACATTGTCATAATCGTGATATGTTTTTACTCTTTGTGTGGGTCATCAAGGAGTTGAGTTGACATCAATTTTTTTGCTTCCAAGGATTTGATCCAAAAAAATGTTTCATGTCAGGTCGTGGCGGCAACGCTTGGCTGTCCCCCGAGGGCTGCATGATGTTCTCCCTGCAGCTGCACTTGCCCATGGCCTCCTTCATGGGCTCTCACTTGCCGCTGATACAACACCTCGTGTCGGTGGCCGTGGTCATGTCAATGTCCCGGGACCATCCTGGCCTCCAGCTCAGCCTCAAGTGGCCTAATGACATCTACGCGGGGCCCAGCAAACTGGGAGGTGTGCTCGTGCAGAGCTCACTTACCGCCACCACGGCCTGCGTTAATCTGGGTACGATCGTCGTGAAATATTCAAATTGCTGCGTGGCCCGTTAAAGTTTATCAAATTAAGGGAAGGCCAGAGCATTCATATTTATGGGAGGGTGCAAGCATTCAAATTACGAAAGGTCTGACGGAAGCACACTTACAGGCGCCACGGCGTGCGTTAATCTGCGTACGATCATCGTAAAGTCTTTACAAAATAAATGCGTGTCCAGTTTAAAAAATCCTAATTACGGAGGGATCTGATGGTTCGCAGATCATGGTGTTACCGATCTAAATGTTGAAAAATCTGTATAAACTTTATCCTAATTGCCTTTTTACTTATTGTTTCAACTGTCCCTATACTCAGCGCAATTATAACGTTAAATTAGTTAGCCTGTTGAGGGCTATACAGTGTAAATATTCAAATTACGTTTAGCGCAGCGATCTCTTGCCAGTTCATGGCTTGTTGTAATCGTACGAGAAAATCAAGATCTCTAAGAGCAGGCTTTCTCCATTAATTTATTGTAATGTGAGGTAATTTTCAGCTTGAATTATTAATTTTATTTGACTTCAGGTGTTGGGGTGAACCTGAACAACGACGCCCCGACGACCAGCGTTCTGCAGTTACTGAGGGAGAGCGACCCAGCCTGTCCCCCAGTGAGCGTAGAGGCGTCGCTCGCTGCCACGTTTAATGCCATCGAGGAACTGATAAACCTAGTGGAGACCGAAGGTCCGGAGCCGTTCATCCAGATCTACTACTCCTACTGGAAACATAGGTGATAATGAGCTATGATCTTATTCTCTTATTATTTTGATAAGGTGATAATGAGCAATGATCTTATTCTCTTGTTAATTAGATAACTTTTTCCAATTTCTGTTTTTCCGGTTAAATATTCGACGTATCAATGATCAATTTTAATTCTTCCATTAAATGAAATGTTTTCAATTTCTATTATTCCAGCCGGCTTTTTACTCAAAGAAAATTACTATTTAATTCAATTGCTGACACATTGTCTCACGAGGCTCGTCTCATCTCCAATATTATCACCATTCAGTGGCGCCCAAGTGACAGTGCTGCCAGCCGAGGATGGTCGTGCTCGCAACGCTGCCAGGGGAGGCCGCACCGTCACCATCACAGGTAGTCTCTAATATTTTAGTCCCTCTTAAGCTATTAAATTAATTTATATATTAACTTGTTGCGCTCCTCATTAGTCGTCCTTGCGCTTCTCATTAAATCATAGATAAATGATTTGTTGCGCTCCTCATTAGTTGTCTTCGATTCTACTTAGTTCAATAGCGATATTTTATTCACATTCATGAACGCGTTGTTATTAAAGTGCCTCTTAGGTATTGAAATTATTGTAACTTTCAGCAAGGAACTCTTGTTATACTAACAGGATTTTGACGTGACTTATTCATGTATACTGTAACTACATTGTAACAGGATTTTGACATGACTTATTCAGGTATACTGTAAACTACACAATAACAGGATTTTGACGTGACCTATTCATGTATACTGTATACTACACAGTAACAGGATTTTGACGTGACTTATTCATGTATACTGTAAACTACACAGTAACAGGATTTTGACGTGACCTATTCATGTATACTGTAAACTACACAGTAACAGGATTTTGACGTGACCTATTCAGGTATACTGTGGAAACGTCTTTGTTCAATTCTCACATGCTCACATATGGCATAATCCTGAAATCCAGGCTGTTTGGTGTCTGTTTAAAGCCATCATCAGCATCATGGATTCAAGATGCTCTTCTTATTTTATTCGTGCTTTAAATATTAAATAGAGTATTCACTGTGCATTAATTTTCCACACATAGTTCGTGCATTTCTCACACATTTTCCATGCAATATATAGTCATCCACAAAGTCCCCAGCAACACCGCTTTAACTTGCAAGTAGAACATAAATATGCATTATAAAAAACATTGAATATACAAGATTACTTGAGGAAGTGAAGAGATGTAGAATATTTTTAATTCAAAATTTGGGATTTAATCTATAAAGCTAAATAATTTCTGATGTTTATGCCAGGAATTGACTACTACGGCTTCTTGAAGGGAGTAGACTGCGTGACACGAGAGGCGGTGTCCATACAGCCTGACGGCAATTCCTTCAACATGATGGAAAACTTGGTCTACTCAAAGAATCGGTAAACCTCAAGTGTTTTATGATCCATCGAAGGTGGAAAAGTGGATTTGTTCGTGATGGATCGCACGAGGATGAAGGTTAGATGCTACGAAAATCGGTTGAAACCACCAAAAATGTTGACGACACGAATAAAGGGTTTATGCCACCAGAAAGATTGACACCACCAAAAAGGTGGTTGTTGACCAAAAGGCCACTGTTGTTCTATATATGAGCTAAACTCTAAAATGAGATTCGAACTCCTCACAGCAATAAATAGTATGTGGAGGCAACGGCGACCTCATTGGCTTGCTAATGAATTTGCAGAATGCGAATATTCAACTTGCGTTTCTGAATGAATATTTACTTTATGCTGAGATCTAGCAATTTTTATGTTAAATTTTGAAGTAAGTTTTGTAAAATAAGCATGAGTATCTCTGCGCCGACCTGCTGTGTTAGGAATTAGAAAAGAATTGAATGGAATCCTAACTCAGACATTGTCTGTGTTTTAATTTTAGTTCAGATATTCCTTATGGTGTCATCCAGAGTAAAAATTTAGCATCTTGTTTGATAGAAGATGGCACAAGAATCTAATGTTCAAATGGTGCTAACTTACCGCGACTAGGAAACTTCTTTCTTTCATTTCACTTGCTCTATATGTGAATTGTCGCCAAAAAACGCTTCTTTTATCTATACAACAAATTTTGTAATCCTCACTACTGACTCTTTGAGCTCCATTTGAAGTTGACGCTGCAACCTCTGTCGTCTGCTGCCCTCAGCTGTTGACCCTCAATAATAAGTAGAGCGGAAAGAACCCTGGCTACGCCTGAATTGAATTGGTAAAATGAGATTTACGAGAAAGTTTTTCTGACACCTTCATTATGAATAAAAAGTATGTAATACAACAACGTACTGTGTTGCGCGGCCAAATTTTTTGTTGTAAACTTGAGAGGTTATTTAATGTTAAGAACTACTGAAGATCGTGTTGTATAAGTTGTTAGATGCTAGACATCATTGCACTTAGTGAGAGTTGCTGAGTGTTTAAGGTGGAAGTGTCGGTTTTGTTGTTGGTTGGGGCGAAATTGCCGGCTTTGTAGGTGGTTGAGGTGTAAGTGGTTGAGGTGGAAGTGTTGGCAGTGTAGGTGGTTAAGGTGGGAGTGTCGGCGGTGTTGTGATACCTCTGGTCAGATCAAACGTTGGCTAAGCTAAGACATAGGAGAAAGCTCTCTAAAGACTGTTATTTGGATTCTTGTTATTATATACATGAAGTTTACTAATAATTAGGTTTGAGGTTATGAATCTGCCTTACGAGGTTTGTAATGACTAGTTTCTCCTTCATCAAATAGTTATAATGGATGCGGTTAATGCATTGAGAACAGCGAAAAATGATTTTTGTTTAGTGTCGCGCGAGCCATAAAAGCTTTTTTCCGGCCCAATTCGTCGTCTTCGATTTTATGAAGAGTGCCGCAATTGGCGTCCTTAGTGACAGAATACAAATTTATTCCCAGTAATTATAGTAGGAAATGATCAAATTATTATCGCTGTGAGTCTCGTCCAAATTTTATGCATGGTTCACCGTCGAATATTCCTTGGCCATCCTGATGCACTGTAAGGTTAAGTGAGCGTCAGTGTGAGAAGCACCATCATTAAGTGACTATAATCACCATCATTAAGTGATCATCAGCAAGCTTCTTGCCTTAACTTAAGATCATTTTAATCAACCACCGTACGTTGAGTATTTGCGACTACATGAATGGTTTTAAAACCATTCATCCTTGTGAATTATATGTATTACAATATTTAGAGAAATTGTGCACCGATCCCTTTTGTTACCTCGTGGCATCAAGCGTGCTCAATATTAGTACCACCGAATACTAATATAAAATTATTAATACCAATATTAATAGCCACTATTCCCGCTGCCCGACTAGCTTTTTTCAAAGATCCTCTGAATATAAAACTGAGGAAATCAATCGTAAATAGGTACCACATGCATGTATTAGATCAGCAGACGACATGAATACGAGGCCTCTTAGGTCTCTGACAACGTAATTAACGTTCTACGTTACGTGGCCATCTCGTGTAAATTCCTGATTGAAAAATGTCGACCTTCTTTTCTAGCCGTGCTGCTTTTTCTAGCCGTGCTACTCTTCCTAGCCGTGCTACTCATCCTAGCCGTAAAGTTGGTGCTGCTCTCTTTCTCGATTTCACTTTCCTACTCCGCCTAACGTTGGCACGCGACGCTTGTATTGACTGTAGGATATGCTAATTCAATTATTCTGCTCATCGTCGGAACCGCAGGAATTGTTCGATGTCACTCGCTTCCAACTTAACCTTAACCGTGTTGAAATCTTCAATCGTATTACATTATTCATGCACTAAGACTTCAACTATGCTAAATAGTTAGACCTTCCTCATTCCGAAACCTATAATTTAATGCTCGTGCATGAACAATGTTATATACACCAAACTCGGCAATTTACTGCAATGTCTTTATGACTGCTTGCCTCTGTGTTCTGTGTTACGGTCCCGGTAACAAGCGCAAGCTACGCACTCGAAGAAATGAGAGAGACTTTGTCCTAATAGCGATGCACTTTTTGTTTTTTTTTTTCCGGCAGAAAGGCGTAAGAATGCTACATGCAGGAAGTTTGTCACTATTTGCACAATATGACTCTTTCATTTTTCTTGGTGCGAAATAGTGTTTTGAGTGCCGCGAGGCTGTGACTCTTTAGCCACCACGAGTTGAAGATTTGCTATTGTTAGCATGTATAATCAAACCTTATACTCTGATATCTTGTTAACTGAGTGGCTTCCTTTTGCGTCTGTGTTGTTTATCAAATATGCAAATGAATGTAGTTATTCGTATTACAATGACAAAACTATTAATCACTGTCACTACTTTGCTTATGTGGACTCAATATGATGTACCATGTGAACGTGACATCTTCAACTGTCGTCTTGATGTCCTTGTGTGCCAGGCAACGAGTTGCATATTTTATTTTTGCATTGAATTAATTTTACGTGTTCCTCTAAACTGACATTGATCTCAAATTTTGCTCTCCTTGTCCTTCTGTAAATCCCATAGTGTTCTTTAAACACTATCTCAAATGAGACAATAGTGTTATAATAATAATAAAAATAGTCTCAATAGTGAGTATCTCAAATAGTATTCTGGGTAATTACAGTATCTCACGTACTCAGAGAATCTCAAATCCTTGCCTCTCTGTCGAAAAAATTTTCCTTTATGATGATTTTTATTTGTTGTTGAAGCTTTCGTGGGGCGGAACATCTTCGTTTGGACGAACATTGTTTGCAAACGGACAATGTTCGGTTGCACTGCGAACATCGTTCGTAGTGCAAAGCTCATTGTTTTGTTATCGTCTTGATTTGCCTCATCGGCTCCATCAAACGTGTTGCTAAAATTGTTCAACGGTGTTGGACGACCGGCAGATGTATAAGCCAGTCGCCAAAACTGTTGTCCTGGCATCTGTATCGAGTATTCACGAGCCATAGCTTCAATGTTACTACAAATGTATTCTTCTATTGATATTGTATTGATGGACAAAATTCTAGAACGATTCGGTGATTGATTTACAAAGTCGCCAATTTTGCTTGATGGCCTGGTTTGAGATGAAGCTTGTATGCTTGGTCTGTAGTGCATTTCGGAGTACACGGTTGGTGATCTCTGCATTTAGTTTATATGCAGGATTGTTTAGTAGAGTTAGATTTATTTAGTGTTACCTCGCCTGTACACGCGTGTTTCTAGTCGCAACATTTCTCACCAAAGTTGAACTTTTAGTTGCGTTCTAAATACAGTGAAGATTAAGCGACAGAGAAATGTATTCACTGTAGTGTGATTCTTCCCATGCTTAAATAAATCGCAACATAAACACATTGAAGAATTGTAAGGCTTGTTGTTCACGATGATCTAACTGGCTTGCACGTTAGTTCTTCCTGCACAGTTAGGATGGAAACTCTGCTGGCACTCCATAATCCGCCATGTTCATTTTAACTTTAACCACATCGAGTAGGCAAAAAATTGCCCCTCGTATCAAATAACCAATTGTAAAAAGTCTTTAAATTCTACGAGCTCGCCAGTACAATTCTAAGGTTTCTTCATTTTCATGCACTAGATTTTACGTTTGTTGAAGCTAGATACAATGTTCGGCCGACGTAAAGCTGTTGCGTGAGCTAATGCGCGATCTGTGCAAGTACCAAGCGGCAAGCGTATAGCAAAAGGTGCCCTGTAACATCCCAGGATTGCGGTACATCTTCCTCCTGCTCTGCTATCTTACTGGCTCTCTAATGTGACCAATACCATCAGTAACGTCACCATTGTAACGTCGCTATCGTAACGTCACTATCTAAATATTGACCAAGTAAACGGTCAAAGTCGTTCTGTGGTTATTTTCGAGTAGAAATATCCTTCCATTTTCCATTTGCATAGGATGTCTAGAAGCCAAGAATTAATAGTATAGAAGGCAGTATGACCGTGAACAATTCTTATCAATACTCAACAATACGACAGCTGCTTAATTAATATGGAGCAAATATCAAAGTGTATCTTTGCGCAAAGTGATAGTTTCGTCTTATTCCATTATCACGAAAAAAAAGTATTATACTGGATATACCTATTATTGTTGAATTGAATCGTATTAAGAAATTCAAATTAAATTGATGAACGTTCTAAAAAGAGATAAATTATAATATATGTACGTATCGTTAGGTTAGTTAGTGACGCTTCATTGCATTTCAATGCCATTTATGTATCAGGCAGAATATATTCGTTGACGTTATTGGAGGACGCAATGGCCGCCGCTTGTTGACTTTTTTGTTGGTGTATTTTGTTAATAAAAGTTGCCATCGTAGCTCACATATCCTTGCCCTCTACGCGATACGCTGAAAATTCAAACATCGACGTGCTTTTCAGAACAATTATTTAATTTTTCTTTATTTCTATACAAATTCAACTAGCATCAAATCAGCATCAACTTTCACAACGGTAACGAAATAGGAGGCCGAGCTGAACAAACTCCTGCCCGGAGGTATTGTTATGAAGTGGACAATAAAATGTTAATTTAATCACAAAAAGCACTTCCTTAGGTTCAAACCATTACTATGCGAGTACTTATTTTCTCAGCCCTTGTTCAAATAATTAGAATGTAACGGAGCATAATATGCCTACTTGTATTTCACACAACTAAAAAAATCTAATAAATAAATCCTTAATGTCTCAGAATCACATTTCCACTAACGCCACAGATCTTTCATTTTTCTGAACTCGTCTAGTAGACTCGAATGCAGTCCCAGTAATCAACTTCATGATTTTAACTCATTTATCCACTATTTCTATGTATCACTATGAGCTTAATAATCTAGATTTAATCGCATTACATCAGTTGATAAACAAATTTATAATACAGAAGCACGAGTTACACTCGTTACAACTCCACGAATATGACTCATTCATGCATCGAATGTTGAATACCATTATACAGAAATTGGCCCTGGCACACGACACAGTACAATTAATTAAGGTTTTGAAAATCATCAACTGAACCGGAACGCCTCCAAGTCGAATTAAAAAAACCATCAAGTTGCCATGATATGCTAAAATAACGATAATAATTCCACTACTACTCTGAAACGAAAGATCGATAATACGAAGAGTTTCAATACAGCAAAGTACTCCTTTCCATAGAGCTATAATATAACAACTTTCCTTATGGTAATTTGGTTTAGTCAGATGCACAACTCGTTTCCATGATCACAATCTATCGTTACCGCAGTATGTTCATCGCGTTAGCCTTCAACGCCGAGCTTTTTATCCTCTTAGTCAGATTTCCGTTGTGATTACGACTAGCGCTACTGATACTGGCAACACTTGCGTCTCCGTAGATATGTTCCTGATGACCAGTGAAGTGGTTCTCGCAGCAAGAGTTCAGATGATGATGGTACAGAACTAGCGCTACTAATACTGGCAACACTAGCGTCTCCGTAGGTATGTTCCTGATGATCAGTGAAGTGGTTCTCGCAGCAAGAGTTCAGATGATGATGGTACAGAACTCGTTGCCCTGCCAGTTGTAGTACTTCTTGAAGGCGTTGTAGACAACCTCCTGCTCCTCGATCTCCCGCCGATTGTCTTCATTGCGAGACACGCCGCTGTAGAACAGATGAATTCTCTCCATCTGTGAATCACCATAAACTCAAGTTTATATAAAGGAACTTACTACATATCAGTCACGTGATGTAGCTAAGACTACTTTTTATTCATACATCATGCATAAATTTATACTTTACACCCATTCATCATCCATACATTCCTACTTTTCGTTCATTCATCATCCATACATTGATATTGCTTCCACCAACACGAGTAAATATAAGTACTGACAAGTAGAAGCGGACACATAAGCAAATTTAACATGCAATAATGCTGCATTATTTCACCACTTCATCATCAAAGGGATTTGTCGTATTACACTCAATAAAATAAGTGTTGCATTTGACATTTATTCACTTTACGTAATAATCTATTTATTAGCATTATGAAGTATGATATAGGAAAGCCGTGTACGCAATAAGAAGAATAAAAAATAAAATATTCAGATACAATTTAAAAGGAATTGTATTTTTCGTATCTCTAAATTGCCCAATGATCTTAATGCGGCTAGTGAAAAATAATATTTTTTCGTAAACACGGACTGAAATCTTGTGAATGAACTAGAAAATATTTTTATTATTTCGAAAATTAACACACGGAAATCGTTCGATTAAAAAAATTCCATCAAATTTCAAATGTGACCATCTAGTCTAAGAACATGCAATTCAAATGATTCTCTACCTGTGAAAATTATTAGAAACAGTACCAAATCATTGATGTTTTTCTTGATACGACAACTTTTAGTTTAGTCGTCTTCACATTACTGACCTAATTTACATATTTAACCTAAATGACGCAAGATTCCACCATCCTATCAAAAGTATGATTGACCGTAATTAGTTTACCTCGGAGAAGCCATAAATGACATGTTTGATCTTCTTATCTAAGTCCTCCGAGAGCCGGCGCTTCTTGATGGCGGAGTCGGCGCTCCGTAAGAAGCAGTTGTAGTTGTGCTGCAACACGCGCTCGACCTGTAGCGTCTGCGCACATCGGAAAATTGTTTACAAATTCTTAGTAAATTTCCTAAATAAATTGTCCGTGATGCCGAAAATTTTGTAGTAAATTGTCCGTAATCCCGTAAATTTTGTAGTAAATTGTCCGTAATGCCGTAAATTTTGTAGTAAATTGTCCGTAATGCCGTAAATTTTGTAGTAAATTGTCCGTAATGCCGTAAAATCTCCCGTTGTGGAGCAAGACTGCTCAACCAAGCTAATTATTGACAAATTCTGTAAATTTTACGTAAAAAATTTCCGTAATACGTAAAATTAGATGCTGTGGTGTAAGACGTCCTCGACATGCCGCATTTGCGAAACAAGGCAAATTAATACAAAAATTTTCAGAAATACATTATGGAATGTTTGATATTAAAAAAATTATAAGAATAACCTACAAGCACAGTCCGCGAAAATTTGTAACTCAACAAAAAAAATGATTTTAACTATCCGCCCAAAATCTTGCGATGAAGCATCGAAACACAACACTCTTTGAACACAGCTAGTGTAATCGCTAATGCAGGCTTGAATTTTCCCCAATTTTCAATATGGTTAACCTCACAAAGACAAAGAAATTGCCTTTTGTTGTAATAAGTTCAGATTTGATACAGCAGAAATTCTCTAGCTTCGTAGGCGGATATTGATTTCGATACTTCCTAGTTCTTAAATTAAGAACCTCAAAAACATATATAAAAAACACCTTTTCCTGCAAGAAGATGAGGTCAGAGACAGCAGAAATTCTCTGTCGCTTCGTAGGCGGATTTTGATTTCGATACTTCCTACTTCTCAAATTATAAACCAAAAAAAAAACATAAAAACCACCTTTTCCTGCAAGAAGCTGAGGTCAGAGACAGCAGAAATTCTCTGTCGCTTCGTAGGCGGCATGGCGACGTCACAATCGTTGGCGTGGTCTCTGGCTCTCTTCCTTCCCGTGCAGAGCTTCTGCTTGAGCAGCGCCAGCAGCACCGACAGCTTCGTGGCGCCGGTCATACCTCGCACCTTGCCATCACGACTCATGCAAGCTGCCACGCACAATTCACTTGTGAACTTAACAAATACCCATCTATGTTATTAAAATGACCTAGAGTTCTAATTAACTTAATGTCTCAATAAAAGTTTAATTAACATATATTTTATTAGGCAAAAAATTATAATTAGGGAGTTATATTTTTAGATGATCAATAATTAAAAAAATGTATTCGCTTATTTATTATTATTTCATTACAAATTATTCTATTTATTTTACAAGTATATGTTTTACGTAATAACGGCATACACATTGTACAAGCATATAAGTTGTACAAGCATCCACGTTTTACAAGCATAAACGTTTTACAAGCATACGCGTTTTACAAGCATACACGTTTTACAAGCACACACGTTTTACAAGCATACACGTTTTACAAGCACACACGTTTTACAAGCATACACGATTTACAACCATACTACACGTTTTACAAGCAAACACGCTTTAGAAGCATACACGTTTCACGAAACGTCTTTCTTGCAAGAATAACCATTAGCGAAGCAATTTTGTATTTTATCTCACCCACACAATTGCCGCCCTCCCTCACTTATAAAAGAGATATTCGTCTTTTTCTTTACTTCTGAGCAGCAATTATATAGATTATCACTCACCCTCAGGATCACCGCTCACCATTATAGAAGATCCAGCGAGCGTGGCGGGTGAGGTCAGTGTTGGGGTCAGGCGTCGTCACGTTACCCCACAGCTCGCGTATCTTCTTAACTCTCTCTTCATCAGAAGTGATGCTACGAAGGATGTCCCATCGTGGGTCCTATACATCACAACAAAAACTACACATAGTTCTTCTATGGCAATTATCTCTAGCTATTCCTCATGTTATTTTATTTCATGGGCTTTGGCTAACAAGTATTCTCATACAATCTTACATTAGTTTAATAAATATATTAAGAAATAAGCAATGCACACTAAACACCTAAAGATGGAAACCGGGAGGGTGCAGAATACGAGATCAAGTTTATACATATACCATAAATACAACATCGATATAATGTTGCAAATACAACAAATAACGAGTCAAGTACAGAAAATATACGGAGTAGGTATGAAATTAACAATTTGATGAATGTATGCACTTAACGAAACTATGCTCAAAATAGCATAGGTACTCGTATAACTGATGATAGAGGAAATTTAATAACTGTCAATAATAAAAAATAAGGGTTAGAATTTAATGTCAAACGTCGCCTCGTTTTCTTTATTATGACTTGAATCGTGATTTGAGTTGATACAAAATTACCTCGTTATCGCGGTTCTCCAAGGGATCGGAGCTTACGAAGGGCAACATGTAGCCTTTAATTTCGGGAACATCAACTTGTGGCGGCCTTTCGCCTTGGCCATTTGGTCCGATCGAATTTATTTCCAAAGTTTCAGTTTTATCCGTAATTGGAGTTGGTGGCAATAGATTGGAGGATTTATTGGAGTTCGAGATTGTGTCAAGTTTATTAACCACCGGAATACTAAGTCTACTCTGGTTGACGTTTTTGTGGGTTGAACTTTGAGAGTCCAATATTAAACACTTCGATAATAAAGATTTAACAGCATTTTCCCCATCAAGTACAAAATCCTCAAGAGCTTTTGTCCATGGCGGTGTTGGCATCGTGTCAAAAGGCTCTTTTACAGTCGCTGCGGCTGCCGATTCAACATCGTTGAGCGGTTTTTCATTGGATTCAGTTGAACGCTCTACAGTATCACTATTCACGCCACTTTCTGGATAACTTTTTTGCTGCAAAGCAGACAATTTCTTTTCCTTCTCAAGACGCGGTTCCAATGATGTCATACTGTCGTAGAGAACTTCTAGTCCCATACTTGATTCCTTCCGTAAGTCATTCACGCGATTTAGGTTGACAGAGGTTGGCTCTACACAGTTACTGGTATCGTGGATACTGACAGGCAATTGTTCCTCTACATAAAAACCAGTTTCAGATGGCGATTTTGATGCATTTTTCATGCTATTCTCTTCAATGTTAGCATCTTTATGGGCAACTTTCTCCTCTTGATGTTCGATGCACTCGTTGACGTTGACTCTGCGTAACTCGTCATCTCGCTCCTCATTGGATTCATCTGGAGCAGTTGTTGCTTCATGACCAGACGATTTTTCTTGACTTTTTCGAGGAGACTCTTCCTCCACTTCGATAAGAGATAAACCAAGAAAAGATTCCTGCAATGAATCATCGACAAAAGACTCGTTTTTGTGCTCAGTTTCAGCATCTTCTGCTGAGATGACACTCTCAATCTTATCACTCAATTGGCGCATCAAATCTATTGCTGTGGCATCCTCAACAGAAACGTAATTTTCATTTTCATCTTGGATTACATCCTTACAACCTTGAAGATTAGGTAGTATTTCCAAAATATTGCCATCATTAGAGTAGTTCTTTTCTAGACTATCAAACAATACTTTCATGGATTTAAATGATGGGGCTCCCAAAGCACTAGATGCACTAAGATTTGTGGGAAGTTCAGTTAGGCTCTCGCGCAATTTAAGAGATTCCTTCTCAAAACAATTAGTCAGATCTTCTTCCTTAGGTAGTATCAAATTTGAATTGGAATTGGTTAATTGACTCAATGGACTTTGATTCTCACATTTAACTTCTTTTTGTGAACAAGATTGTGGATTTAATAAAGTGTTATGTGATATTTCTTCTTGGAAAGAAGTTTGTAGGTCTCCAACATGTTCAGTATCAACATCATCATCGAACAGCAATGATTCATCGTCCGCAGAAAGACAGAGCTTCAGCTCACATGACACGTTTGATGAGGTCTCCTTTCTCGATATCTCATACGGAACCTCATGTTTTACACATTGACCTATAAAAGACGTCAGACTTGAATAGTCTTGTACTTTGTTCTTGGTTTTCTCAGTTATACCATACAGAGAGCAGTGCCACTGCTGTAGTAACAGTTGTTCACAGTCATGGCCATGATCAGTTGCACTGTTTTCTAGCAGTTGCCGAGATTCATTCAATTCGTTGTGGCCAAGAAACTCCTTCATGTCTGCATTAAACATAGCTGAGGGTGCTTGGATTTCAAATGCACAATTATCTTCATTGAATTGACTTGAAGACAAATTCAGATATTCAGTACTAGAATCAATCTCAGGTTCTGTTCCAGCCACCCTTCTCTCAATGTCCTCAGTTACAGGTACTCTAGTTGAACTCATTTCCATAAAACCAATCGCAATGAGCAAGCTTTTCTGCAGAACTATGATTAAACAAATTTAAATAAATATACGTACATAAATTTAAATAAATATACATAGATAATTTTAAATAAATATACATAGCTACATAAATAGTAAAGTGTTTTAGTTTGAAAACTGAAGAGACAGACATAAGAACATCTTAGACAATCTTTCAATTATCCATAGTTTAAAGGTCCTCACTGAAGCTACTATCAGTCGTATGCAAAAGGAATTAGCATGAGTTTCAAATACATATAGCTGGTATTTAAATACCTTGAAATATCTTCAAAGCTAAGGAGATTTTACACAAATTTAATTGATCAATCTTTAGTCAATAAACAGATTAGGCATCATTTACAAAATCAGAAAAAACTTTTCTGACAATTTACTGATTTTTGCACATAAACAGTGTAAAAATCTTTAACTAAAACATTAATCAAAAACTACTTCTACAGGATCTATTCTACATCCATACCCAGAGAATTCCAAGTCCAAAACCAGTAAATCCTAAATAAAGCTCATTATTTCAGAAATTAATTTTCTCTGTCAAAATTCATCACCCAAGTCATTCCAAATAGCTCAATATAAAAATTTTCTAAAATAATGTAGATTGGGTCAAGTAATGAACCTAATTAAAATTCATTTTAAACATATTTACAAAACAAGATCTTTACAACAATGCAGTAGGTATGTTTTTGGCAGCAAATTTTGTCTATCAGGTAAGCTACCTCTTGCATCTAAATTCAATTTGTTAACAGTAGTATTGTAATGTGCTAACATGAGAGTAAAATATATCCACAATGCATCAAAATTTGTGGAACTAACCTGCAGATGAAAACAGATAAAGAGGAAGCTTGAATGCACACCAATGGCTATGGAAATTTTACTTACAATACTGTAAGATTTCCATGCTTAAATGAAAGTCATAGAAAGATCTTAGTTAATGATCCTTTGTCATGGCATAGGGCAAGAAACTATTGAAGGGACATCTCAATGGTTCAACACTTCAACTTCTTTTGTGCATTCCTTGAAGTCATGTTGAGGCTGAGGAAACATCCCACAGAAGACAAACTCCATTATGAAGAGCACACTAAAAATCAATCATTTGTTACTATTGCATGCCTCTACTTAGCCATTTAGATGAATGTAAATCAAAAACAATAAATACTAAGCTCTCGAGCCATTGATATTGGTGCATCCAATTGTAGAAATGGGAAATGCAAAGAATCGGATATTGCCATCTCACTATCAGTCTGGTGAGTTTTGTGAATTTTGGCATAAAGAAATTTCATAAATTTTTCAATTCCTGTTTAGACAAAGTAACATGATAGAAGCAGAAAGAGCTGCTGCATTAGATTCTTTTAAGTCAATTTTTAGAATGACCGCTTTTTTTACCATCAACGTGGAAATCAGCTGGGCCTCTACTTTCAAAAACAGTTAAGAGATCGTAAGTTCATCAACCAGTCATTGACGGCCTTTCAAGCAAAATCCACCAATAATAGACAAGAAAACAGGGCGTAAGTACTTACGTTCACTTAGCAAGTTTTGAAAGTATGGCCCCAGAACATAGGGCTTGTTTCTAGACTGAGTGTACAGAAGATCAACATTTGGACCTTTGACAAAGTTGCACAAAGCTTTTGTTGGAAAAATTATAAAAAAACATGCAACTTTTCAGTTTTCAATAAAATTTTGTCTTTGTTAATATTTAATGAAGAACATAATTGTTTATATATAGATCCTTTAAGGAAGATATATAGGGTAAATGTGGTATATGCTGACATCGTGGGTAATTCCAACACTTCTTGACTTTTTAGCACATTTTCTCATTTATGAAAAAAATGCACTATTGTGCTCTCCATGTCCATCTGTCCGTCCGTCTGTCTGTCTGTCTGTCCGTCCGTCTGTCTGTCCATCCGTGACTTCATGTTTTCATCGACGAGAAAATGCGCTCTCTTGTCACTCACTGCAGTGAGTACTGAGTTATATTTTTTCCTTTATATTAAGCTTTTTCTAGTTCCACACATTTGTTGATGGTTGAAATAGGATCGTCATACTATTACGCACCATAATATTGCCAAAACACTAGGTCTGGGCTGTCTGGTGGGCAAATGTTGAGATCCAAAGTGAGACAGTGCGCGTCACCCAGCGAGAACATCGAAAAATGTGTCAAAGTTGATAGTTGACCTTGCTCTACCAAATAGTGATAAACTGTTTGTGTAGAAAGAATATTATGGTTTGATATTTTTAAATAAGTCTGTGAATATATTAGGAATCCTTTAAGTATACTTGTATTTGCTGATTTCAAGTGGTAAAAAAATTAATAGATGATCAAGTTAAGAGATGGTTTTAGACACATAAAAACTAACTCCGACACAGCTTAGAATTAGACACACACAGCTCGTTCCAAGCTGTGTGCAAAAATTAAAATTTTCTTAGTTAAAAGTTTAATAGCTCTTAATTAAAAGCCTAAATAATTAGTGTTCAATATTCAATAGGGTTCTAATTCCAAGCTGTGTTGTATTCCAATACAGCTCACACAGCAATCAGAATTTGAACACAAGAGTGTCGGAATTACGAATTAGTAGAGTTTGAAGCACGGCCGGAATTAGTCTCACAAAATGCCAAATCTAGTCACACACAGTGTCGGAATATAGGCTATGGATTTGGTAGGTTCGCATTCTAAAGGGTTTTAAATAAATATGGCACCATTTTGTGACGTTTCATTGTTGCTTGTGCGTAGTGCAGTGTTTTGAGAGTGACGTAAAGCAAACAGAACTCGAGTTGCGCGTACAGTGATTTTTTAATAGCCATTCATTTTTTGCTACGTCCTCAAACGCTCAAAGTGTCGGTATATACCACGTTTACCCTATATATTTTTGGTCCAAAAAAATGTATGACAAACAAAATCACACGTTTACTAGTAGTTTTTGCCAAATTTTGTGTAGGCCTAATCATCAATAAAATAATAGGTAGCAGCCAGGAGCCAGCCACAGGCCCACAGCTCACAATCTGATTAGTGATATAAAGACACTAGCTACCTAAACAGATCTGCTAAAAATCACAGACAAAATGCTAAAGCCATGATAGGATTTTTAAAAGTTATAGTTTTGAATTTGTAAAATTATGGGTCTTTTGAAATCATAAAAATTGTTAAAGCTGTTTATTCCATATGTAATAGCAAGTGATTTTGCCTCATTCATTGAACACTTACAAATTAGGTAGTTATAATGAATTTTCCAGTTTGGAAGATACCTAATCCAAACAATGTTATCAATTAGGCTAGCAGGTACTAGCCAGGTAGCACCTAATAATATTATTTTAGACCTATGCAACATTGAACATTTAGCAACTTTTGATTTGTCAATACAATATAGTAAGTTGCAAATGCAACATTTAGCAACTTTTGTCAATCACTGCCACAGCAGTGGCCAGTGAGTAGGTGTAGGTACCTAGGCCTTAAGGCTTAAGCCAGTAGAGTAAGTCAAGTAGGATTGTAGGATACGTAGTAGCTAGGAATATTAGCTAACAGACTGAATTTCTGAAAGCACTTGTAAAGTTGTATAGCTATGTTGATATACTTCAATAGAATATTATAGATATGTTGATCATTTGATGTCAATATGATATGAATATGGATCATAATGGATGCCGGCATCATGCCATGACAGCCTTTCACTTTCAGTACTATTCATATAATATTGTAAACAAACTGTGCCACAACTTTCTATGTAGAATTATTTAATATGAATTAAAGCAGCTTCTTGGTCATTAACTTCACAGCACTGTACAGATTTGAAACGGTACACACCAGATCTGAATAGAACACAAATAAATTGCATAAGAAATCGAATTACCCAAATGATTCCTATTGCATTATTTAATTCACTAATGCTAAAGGGACAAGACAATAGTGCATAGGATTGACATTTGACGAGTAAGCAATTAAAATGTAGAGTAAAATGCTGGATTATGCATGAATACAATTTTTCACAAATTCACTAAGTACATTGATTTTACTTTTAGATGATTAGATCTACTACGGTTACGGTAGATCACGCGGACTCAGGGGCGGCAGGACTTAGCAACTGACACGCCCACGTGCAGCAGATGACTGTGTATATTGCAAAATCAGTATTGCCAACTTTTTTCACGACGAGAATACCAATACCAGATTAACTAGCTCAAAATACCATAAATATGAATAACAACGGAATAAAATCACATAGTGATGTCGGCGCTGAAGAGAAGGCCTGATGTGGCATATCGCTGATTCTTGTAATTTTCGTGACTTGTTAACAGAAGATCCAAAATCGTGGTATTGGACCGGATCTTTTCATGACTGACGAACATGGTTGTTGTTGTTGTGGTTCCCCGGTCTCAATTTTACAAGAGACCCCCCTCGCGCAAGTACGACACCACCGACAGGGGGTCGCTCCAGAGCTGTAGGGTCGAGGTTATGTGGTGGTGTTGTCTGAGGTCCTGCCAGAGCGGACATTC